TGTAGACTCTACATATTATCTTAATTTCAAATCGATACGTTTTTAAATAAAAATGTTATTACAAAATATCGAACTTTATCTATTTTTAACACAATAGAGTGACTTAAGGCCTGAAAACCACAGCGGTCAATGGATGAAATTTTTTTTTAAATGCTCCACTTAGATGTATAAACAAAAATATATTCAATTCTGGCATCACTTGCAATCAAATGTCCAAAATTTTTTCGATTTTTACGCGAAACAATAGTTAATGAATTCAATTGTATTTATTGGTTAAACATAGCAGAACTTATCGAGTATTATCGATTTAAGTATATGAAGTTTTGTTTTTGTGCTTGCATATATGTGCTTGTATTAAACACGTTGCCTTTCTGCATGTAACGAAATACTTAAACAACTAACTAAACGCAACCAACCAACGCAACCAAAACAGGATTAGTACATCGTGTATGCGAAATGTTTCGATATTGTTTGAATATGGTAATTGTTTGTCGCCTCATATTTCTGTTTCTATACTACTAGTAGTATAGGATTATGGAACGGACACTATACAGGGTGAGATTTAATTTTTTATCAACAGTAATAAAACACTCTGTATATATTTTTAGGGCAACAGAAACCTGAAAATTTGTTGCTACAAGTCTACTCTCTAAAAATAAATTAGTCAAAAATGACTAATTAATAGTTATTAGTGGCTGCTTTTTCACTTGTACATGGTTAACCATGGAATACCCATGGTATCCCAAAATTTAACAGCCAATTCTTATGTAAAATTGTCCCCTGAATCCAAAAATACCGTCAAAAATTATGAAAGTGGATCAGTTTTTGAGATATAGTCAATTCCATATTAAATTGAAAGTTGACTATATCTCAAAAACTGTTCTAATATTTTTTCTTTTGACGACATTTTCGGATTCAGGGGACAATTTTACATAATAATTGGCTGTTACATTTTGGGATACCATGGTATTCCATGGTTAACGATGGTACAAGTGAAAAAGCAGCCACTACGCTGTTCAAAATTTCATGACCATTTTAACACCAAATTAACACCATACATGGTCTATATCTATACAAACCAAAATGGTGTTAAATATGTTTCGTTGGTCCAGTGTAAATTCTAATTCTAAAATAGTGTAAATTTAACTTTCACACAGTATTAAAATAAATTTTACCTGGTGTAAATTGAACTCCTTTTCAGTGTTAAATATTATGTGTTTTTGGTCAAATTAAATCATACTACACAGAAAAAAAGGAAAAAAAGGGAACAGGAAGTTCCTTGACGTATCACTAGTATATTACCAGTGGTATTATTTCAGAAAATTGAACCTTCAACTAATTTAAAATATTTCAAGTATTGACAGCTGTTTTCACCTATTTAAGGTCTCTTTAGTATCGAACAACTTGTAGTGTCACACCAAAGCAAAGGACTCCCTGAACTTATATACTCTTCATGTAAGTCAACAGAGGCGAGATTTAAGAACATCACGAGATCCACACCGCCTTTGCCGCGATCGGTACATACTATGCAACCAGGAATGCATAGCAAATTGTTTTAATCGTTTTAACAGAGTGCTTTAGGTTGAAGTAACTTTTACAAACAACATATTCAGTAAACTGAACCATACAGCGGGTTGGTTTTCTGGGTTAATTTAACCAATTTGAAAAAAAAATAACTATCTGGTTTAGTACCGTCAAACTAATCTATGTTTATATTAACCTTCCCACAGTTGATTTAAATAAATACTTATGGGTCAACTAAATTAATATAGTTAAATGAACTATTCCTTTTTTTCTGTGTAGGTGCACTTCTCAAATATTTTTAGATAAACACCGTTTTGGTGTTTGCTGTATAACATTTTCAACCATAATTCATGGTGTTTATATTAACACCACTTGGTGTTGGATTTAGACACCATTTTAAGATTACCCTTTACACCACAGATATTTTAAACTATAAGTATTAAATTAGTCATTTTTAACTAATTCATTTTTAGATAGTATATCAAAAACTTACCACCTCTGCAGAAAATAAGCGTACGTTTCTACATTGGGGCTCTGATATTAATATTAACATAAAATTCCGAAAGACCGTAACTCGACTTGCATTTGTTTTATGTAAAAAGGGCTAAAACTAAAACAAGAAAGTCTTAGTGATTCTTTTCTCTTAAAATGCTATTTTTACAGGGTTTTATCTATACTTTAGTTTTGTTAAAACTTGTTTTATAAATTTAAATCCATGACTACAATGATTCTTGAGTTATTAATATGATTTTATGGCAAATTATTAAGAAAACGCGTAAAAAATATTTACAACGTCTCACCTTACACTTAACATTTTGTTGATTATTTTATTTAGATCGGCTTTTGTTTTTTCCTAAATTGATTGATTTATCAAATATTTTATAAATTTATTTAATTCCATATTAAATGAAAAATTCACTATATCTTGTAACAAACGGGGCATGGGGGGCACACATTAATAATAAAAAAGAATATTAAAACCACAGAAAAACTACCTTTGGCCAAAACACATGATCGTCTAGTTTAAAGAAATTAAGTTAGGACCCCTTTTTGTTGTGAATACGGTTCTGGATACGTAAGTACTTGAGCAATTGAAAAGATATTTAAAAAGCAAAGAAAAAGTATTAAATTAAAATAAGTTTATTAATAAAGGCAATTAATACAAGAGTTAATTATTGTAACTGTACATTAATAATATAAATAAAAACATTTGTATTTGAAAAGTATGATTGATTTAAGTTATTAAGGTAAAACCTTAAAACCCACATATACAATACAGACATGCATATATGTCGCACATCTCAACAATATAAATAATACAACAAAATCAAAGTAATCAATATGAATATAATCAATTATATTATCATATTGCTAAGATTATTCACCTACATAAAGGGTAGGCTCGGACGGTGTAGAAAAGCAAATACACATTGAAACAATTATCAATGTACAGCAAATAACAATAATGTGAAACATAAAGTATAATATAACTTAGGTCACAAGCAACAATAATAAATGGTATTTGTATAAATAAAATATATAAATAACAAGTGGTGTAGTAGTGGACAACGGTAATGCAATTTAATTGTACAGCCATAAATAACAAATACAATCAGGTATAATCAAGTAATAAAAACATGTCAGTGCAAATCAAATATAGCAAAATAAAATGATTATCAATAATAATAAAATAAGACCATAAAACAACAACTTCATATCAATATCCTTTGTCTAAATTGGTTAACTGGCATTATTGGCAATTGTGTGCGCCTGTCAAAGCAAAGCTGTATCCACCGTCCTATTACCAGCAACCGACAACAAAGTTCCCTAACTAAATAACTCATTTGATATGCAGAACTTGAAACAAGTCTCACCATATTAAATAATGAATATAAATTTATCAAATAAATAAAATAAGATAAACTGTACAAAATACACTATGTAAATGTTAAATATAAATATGTAGTAAAATGTAAAATTACATTACAATATAATATGTTAAAGTAAATATAATAATTATAAACATAAAATAATTATAATAAATTTGTAATTTGGTTTGTCCAACAAAAACCTTTAAGATAAAAACAATTCACAAGTTGAAATAATAATAATAAAATATAGTTTAAATTAAATATTAAATAATTAACCACTCATTATGATATTTGTGACCTCAGATTATAATAACTAAATATAGAAAAGACATACCTATTTAAATAAACAACACTTTCACAAAACTGAATTTATATAAAAAACAATGTATTATTTGTTAAATTCACTCCCTTATAAAATTAAAGAATTCAACTCTTCCCTTCAAATAGTAAAACGTAACTCTCTCTTCAAATAACAAAAACCAACTGTCTAAAAAAATACTGACTTCCCTAATTTTTAACACGCTCTTTTTATGTTTATTTTATCAAAGCCAACCAGGCCTATCGATATAGTTCATTTGGAACATAAGAACCTAATCTCTCTACACATATGGCTCAGACATACGTGCGTTATGGGTAAGTCTCCATAGTGCATCATGGGATGCTTAAAGACATCAACACGTAGGTCTACACTTAGCGCCTTTACAGTGATTTACAAATATCATTCTAAGTCAAACGGCCTATACCCTATTTTTATTACGTGTTGACAAAGACTCTAACACTGGAATGCTTAGTTTAAATTTGGTCCTAATAAATTATATAATATAAACAGAATGGGTCCAAATATTAGGTTACTAATGCACATTTGATACAATTTTAAGTTAAATATTTAGAACTAGTCTCATATTTCGTAAAGCCTTAAAATAATAAATTAAGAAATGTTAAAAATTAACTGCACCATATATCGTACCATTACAATCTCAAAAAATTTTCTACTTTTTTAACTTTTGACGACATTTTTGGATTCAGGGGACAATTTTACATAAGAATTGGGTGTTAAATTTAATAATTAATTAATAACTATTAAATTAGTCATTTTTGACTAAGAGTAGAGATGGTCCTTATTCCGATAGCGCATTCAGTTTTTGGCGTCATTTTTATGTGACCTATGACTCAAACAGGACCCCTGTGACATATATTCATAAAAACGAACACAATATTTTTGTAGAAAACTTTCTCATATCCTAAGGTAAAAATAGTAAATTTTAAGGTATGTTTTAACTAAGTTATTCAATACGATATTATAATAAATTTCATTTATTAAATTTATAAATAAAAAAAAAATTAAGAGTTTTTTTATAAAATATCTATGTTAAAATCATAATGATATTTTAAAACTGTCTAGAACAATATTGCATTAACCAGTGATTTTTTTTCAACCAACTCGATAAGACAGGCAACAAAAATCGTTTGAAAGCAAGAAAAACGTGCAGCTCGGGAAAACAAGCATTTCACGGGTCATAACCGAGCGACATCCGTCATTCGCATCCAGCAGTGCATTTTTGCGGATTTTTATGACTACCGCACACCGCCTAATTTTTTACTCACATAGTTTTGCGCCAGATCCGGATGGTTGGTTTGGATGCCGTCGTCCAAAATTGACACGACAACTCCCTTCCCAGTGTATCCTTTTTGCCAAGCGGGCGCCAAGTTCATGTCCAATCCGTCTTTGGCACCGCCGTTCTGCAACAAAATAACAAAAAATCAGTAAAAAGTTGCTCTCCCGGCCGATCCACGTTCATTACTTTAAGTGACTTTCTACATGCACTTTTAATTTCGCCTAAAACATTTACTTGATTCGGTCGCGAAGCTTATTCAAATTTATTGCGAACAATGTTTATGATCCTTCGGACAATTAAAGTAAGTACTTGCCATCGTCATCCATAAATTTTTGGTTCTTAATTTGCGCTTTAAACATTTATTTAATAATAACGCTTTGGAATATTAAGATTAAAAATGCATGTTTGATCAAACAGCATGCTCCACACCTCAAAGTCCCCACGTGACTACGTACGGAACGCAGTCTTTTGAAATTTTGTCATTTTAAGCTTTTCAGGTTATGTATCTGTCAAAGTATAGTCAATGAAAGAAATAATATTTATATTGTTACCGCATATGTTTAAAGTTATTAAATCTTTATAGTATCACAATAACAATGGTTGGTTTAAGAATTTAGGAATATAAACACTTAACTTCTCTATTATGGAATTAGAATATCTGTAGGTATCAAAAGTATGTTAATGTATTATAACAAAAAATAGCATATAATTTTTTATTGTAAGGATAGAAAAATCTATTTTGACCAACATAAATAAGTGGATTATTTGAAAGAGTGTGTTAATATGGTCATATAAATATAGGTATTCTAAATAATTGTTGAATATGGTTCAAATTAAATTAAAGCTTTTATACTTCTAACGACAAAAAATGTGCATACCTCCCGGCATACCTACAAGTTTGATTATAAGAAAACAAACAATTTTTAGAGAAACTTCCAATGTGAAAATATTTAATACTCACATAACATGTGATTTATTAAAAATTTTAAAGTTATAATGATTTTTTGATGTCGATCAAATTCAGTCAAAACTTTATACCTACTTGTATTGACAAAACCTTGTGTAGGTACACTTTAAGCCGGATTAGAAAAACCATATTCCAAATAATCCAATATACTTATTTATTTTTGTCAAAATAGATTTTTCCTTAAAATTATAAAATTATATGATATTTTTTGTTATAATATATTAACCTACCTTTAATATAGATATACTTATTCCATAATAGAGAAGGTAGGTTTTTTTTAATAAATGCTGTTTAGTTAAAATAATTTTATGGAAAAACAGATATTAATTATTTGGCACCATACACTTTGGATTTAAAATGAATTGAACCTATATTTAATTTTAAAATAAAAATTACCAACCAAATAAACATCATTTAAAATAAAATTTATTAATTTGTTTATTTATGCAACTGATTTTAATTCATATTAAATATTTATTTTAACTTAAGCCAGATCATGCTATTATGTAGGTAAAAAATATTTAATTGTAAAAAATGTCAAATGTCAAAAATGGTAGAATAAGAAGTCAAAATTACAACATTTGAAATCTAAGTTTGTATTGAGATTATAAACATCTTTTTTATTTAATATTTTTACATTTATTTAAAAAAAAACTATTATTAGTAATTAATTAAGAATTATTTTTTTTACTAAAATACATAATACCATATGACCATATAAACTGCGCACCACTCAATGTGTCGCGACCAAAAAGTTGGTTCTTTTTCAAAACGACATTTACTTTTTTGTTTCTTGAACGATTTTATTTTGGTTTGTGATCTCTGCTAGCCTCATCCTCTGGCAATTTATGCTATAGATATAAAGCTCACGGTTGGTCAAGTAAATTTCCTACAGGGTGATATGTTAAACGGTGAAAAATTTCAATAACTTTATCCAAGCCCCGTTTGTAAAAAAATAATTTTTTTTTCGTTTTTACTTTGAAATAATGAAGTATTATGTGTTACCTTGAAACGTTTTTCAAATTTTTCGAATTGGAATCTTAGCAACGAAAATATGATTTTTTTCCATAAGAGTACATTTAAGGCTTTTTTTAGGCAATACACTCAGTCTTTTTAGGAACAAGAAGATAAGATGGTGAAATATTGTTAATTAAATAATTCTGAACAAGCGACAGGCAACAAACTTCCATTATTTTCAGAGGGCCTTTTCGAAAATTACATTTTTGTGAAAGTTTGCAAAAACTAAACCTAAACCGATATTTACTTTCGTAATATGTTTTCTTCATAATTTTGACCTCCTGATTGTGATTCAGTTCTCAAATTTAAGTTTCAGATAAAACCAAAATCACTAAGAATTAAGATTTGAAAACAATTCCCGGCTGTTAAATGTGTCAATAAAATCCGATTGCTGGTTTGTACTGTTTTTTTACATATCGTAAATGAGTATTTAAGGGACCACCATATTGAGAAAATGAATTGGCCAGCTTTGTCTCCGGATATGAATCCTATTGAGGATGTGTGGAGCAGAATAAAATTGAAGATGAAAGAGAGGGAAGGAGGCATGGAAAATTTGGATGAATTGGTAAATGCTATTCAGAAAGAATGGGGTACCCCAGAAATTTCTAAGGAACTTGGTCAAGGGAATGCCCAGGAGGGTTAACGAATTATTACGGCTTAGGAGAGGGCCAACGAAATATTGATAGGTATGTTACATTTTTCTGTTAAATGTTGAAGTTTTGATTATGATTATATCTACGCATACAATTTTCAAAAATGAACAAAAATATTTTTTTCTACGACCACTATGTAAAAGTCACTTTTCATGATGGCATCGTTGCTTAGAAAATGAATCTTTTCATTGACAAGGCAAAACACGAATGTAAAGTGACATTTCTGTGTGAAAAGTGACAGGTCTGTGTGAAAAGAACCGGAAAGCATCGTTTGACATTCAGCTGTCAAAAAAGTTTTTAGGTTATTTTGTTTTGTATTTAAAAATAATAAAAAATAAAAGGGTCGCAGAAAAAACATTGTGTTATACTTGTGAGAAAAGCTTTCTTCAAGCTCGTGTTAATGCACACTCGGCCTAACGGCCTCGTGGGCAACTTAAAAACTCGCATGAAAAATTCGCTTTTCAACACTTGTAAACAAATAACTATTATTTCACTTTATTACCAATTAGGTAGTTATCAATGATGTTATCACTACTGCGCAATGTAAATGTAAGTTATGTAAAATTATCCTAACCACTCAAACAAATTGCAGTAATTTCGCCCAAAAAATGAATCCCCAAATGGCATTTTCATCATAAAAATGCAAGAAACACGACAGCAATCGGATTTTATTAAGACATTTAACAACAGGGAATTGCTTTCGAATTTTGATTCTTGATGATTTTGGTTTTATCTGAAACTTAAATTTGACAACTGAATCACAATCAGGAGGTCAAAATTATAAAGAAAACATGTCACGAACGTAAATTCCAACCAAAATGTCATTTTGAAAAAGTGGTCTTTGCTTAGGCCCCTCTGAAAATAATGGAAGTTTGTTGCTTGTCGCTTGTTCAGAAATATTTAAGGAACAATCTTTTACCGTCTTATTTTCTTGTTCTAAAAAAGACTGAGTATATTGCCTACCAAAAAGCCTTAAATGTACTCTTTTGGAAAAAAAATCATATTTTCGTTGCTAAGATTCAAATTCGAAAAAATTGAAAAACGTTTCAAGGTAACACATAATACTTCATTATTTCAAAGTAAAAACGAAAAAAAAATTATTGTTTTACAAACGGGGCTTGGATGAACCGTTTTACATATCACCATGTAGGAAATTTACTTGAAGAACCGTGTGCTTAATATCTGTACCATGAATTGCCAGAGGATGGGGTTAGCAGGCATCACAGACCAAAATAAAATCGTTCAAGAAACAAAAAAGTTATGTCGTTTTGAAAAAGGACGAATTTTTTAGTCGCGACACATTGAGTGGTGAGCAGTTTATTTAATTTTAAAACAAAAATATCTTTTTTCTTTAATATTTTTACATTTATTAAAAAAAAACTATTATTACCAAATTAATTAAGAATTATTTTTTTTTACTAAAATACATAATAAGAAAATATAGTAAGGTCCATGAATTGGTCGATTTAAAATGAATTGACCATATATTTAATTTTAAAACAAAATTTACCAACCCAATAAAAATCATTTAAAATAAAATTTATAAATCTGTTGATTTATGCTGCTGATTTTAATTCTTATTCAGTAAAAAAAACAATTTAACAACTATTAATTTTACTTTACACCCATCCATCCGTTATGCGGAACTAAAATATTTTAAAATGTGGCCACGTCCGCTCGTTGATATACTGTTTAAAAACCTTTTTGCAGTATTTCACGAACGAAATTTAAATGCGGCCGTATGAGAGTTGTAAACTTTATATGTCCAAAACTCTTAATGACATTAAAACATGTCCGCTGCTCTCTCGTCTAGACGTTTTATTTATTCATTTTAATTTAGCTCTTTTAAACACCCACTAACAATGCGCTGATTTAACTAATTCATTTAGCTTTGTGTTAGTTTAACTGAAAACAGATTTTAGGTACCTACATATTTGGTTTGGTTTAAAAGATTATTATAATTGAAAAACAGTTTTTTCGAATTTTACTTTAAAACCAACAATAGTAGCTATAGCTATAGGTATAGTTGTAAGGGTAATTAGGGGATTTCAAAAAAAGGTTTTAATTTATTACTAATAATTTAATTCAAAACATATATATTTTAATTACTATTAACTTTATAGCGTTTAAAATATTCCAGGTTAATTCGAAAAAAAAAACATTCTTGCCATTTTGAAATATGTCGGCAATTGATTTGAATCAAAATAAAAACTTTATTTTAATATTTAGCCCGATTCATCGATTTTTTTGATATTTACGATTATAACGCTTATTCCTATGTATCAGTTCCAATCGAGCAAATTCCGACGACCAACCAAAAATTTTTTTACTTAAGAAATTTTTTTTTTGATATTATGCCCGGTGGGACGTTGATTATTTTCTCCAATTAATAAAAATACATTTCAACACCGTTTGTAATTTTTTTTATTCTTATGCAAATCTTTTTATCTGATCAAGAAAGTCTCCACTCAACAGTAAAATATCAAGATTATTAGA